TGCTAGACATTAGTAATGAAGCTTTTTGCTTTTAAGGTTCATTTCTGGAAGTCTTTATGATATGTATTGAAGTTCACATTTTTATTGTCAGGGATTTTGATCCAGAAGGAGCAGTTGCAGTTCTAACAACACTAAGGGACTTCTTGGAGACAAACTCAACATTTAAAGTACAACACAAGAACATTGGAATTATACCAGGTTATGAAGAAGGCACTAGTGGTTGGATAGCAGTTAATTATCTTGTTGGGTCCCTGAAACAGGTATGCTTTTCTTCTTTTTTCTTCCTTTTGAAGAACAGTATATTTAGATTATAACATTTGACTTTAGACACAGTATGATAACAAAAAAGTTATGGCTTTGACTTCAGAAGCCATTTGTATCTGAATGTTTTAACCTCTTAAATCCCAACAAGAAATGGATTTCAAAATGTTAACCTCCCATTCTTCTTTGCAGGCAGGAGCATCAACCAAAGCTGCACTTGATGTGGGTGGAGCTTCAGCTCAGATAACTTCAGCTTTAAGGGAAAGTGGAAATTGGACAACCAGGAATCTTACTCTTTTTAATCAGACCCACAAGTAAGGCTAATTTTTGGTTTGTTTTCTCTGATTTGATTTTCTTATTTTGATATGGTAAACCTAAGAAATTTAGTTTCAAAAATGGTGCAGAAACTGAAGAACTGAAGTCAGTATGACAAATAAAGAGAGTACTTTTGTCTGTCTTGTTCAATGTACACTTTGTATCTGTTTATATATATTATAACCTTGTAGTAGGTCTTTTAATATGTATCTGAGTTTTGTATTTTTCCTCTTTTTCCTCTTTTTTAGTATCCAAAGTCAGTCTTTCCTCTGCTATGGAATTGGACAAGCCCAGCATCGACACAACTTCCTTCTATTGACTGAGAGCAAGACCAGTGGAGGGAATTTGTCCAACCCAGAGATTCCCGTGGACCCTTGTTTGCCAACAGGAGCTAGTCATGAAATATCTGAATTAGATTTGAATGGTCCTTGCACACTCACTGGGGATCAAAAACCGGAACTGGCTTCAATGACAAAAATAAGCCAGAACAAAATGAAGAAGATTTTCAAAAATTACATGCGAAAAGGAGATGATGAAGATATTCGTTCACATCTAGAAGAAACCTTGAGATTAGCATCAGAAGATTTAGGAAGTGACACGAAGGCAGTAGTAGCACCTCAAATTATCAAAGGGTCTAGCAATGCTAAGAAATGTGATCAAAAAGTGGAGCAGCTATTTGATCTTCAGTTCTGCAAGAAAACGTTCCGATATGGTGACTGCATGAATGCAGAGCTGGTTCCTGCTGTGACAGGAGACTTGATTGTTAGTATGTTATTGACTTTTTTTGTGAATATATACAGTTCAGTATGAATGTTCAGTTATCCAGTGAATAAGATAGTGTTTATTTTCAGTTAAAAAAGAAAAGATATTCAAATCTTTGAAACTACTTGATTGCTTTCCTCTGTTCAAAAGTTGAATACAACTGAAGTCACAATACTTTTTCAGGCATTTTCTGGCCTGTTTTACCATCTGTTGCTGCTGTTACAAGTAAAGTCCGATGCTAGCTTGGATGACTACAAGGTTGCTGTTGATCATGTGTGCTCACTGAAGTCAGAAGCCTTATATGCTGCTTATCCTGGTAAGCTCAGTTGAATTTGAGTAGAATTATGATATGCTAGATAAGTGAGTGGTTTTCTCTCTCTTTGGTATATGTGTTCTTAGATAGGGCTGTAATAATGCTAGGATTCTTGTGGTTTATATGAGGATAGAATTTCATGACCATAGCTTTCTTGTCAAAATTTGTGCTGCAAAGGTGAATAATTTCTAAAATTTTGTACCTAAAAATTTACTACTTGAGTCAACGAAAAAGAGCATAATAGCAACAACTTTTAGTAAGCTGCTAATTTGAATACAAAGCTGATGTTATAGAATTTGTCTTGAGATTTTGTCACTTTTACTGTTAATAAATTGGTAAAATGAATAGATACAAAACATCTCATACTCCCATTATTATTTGAAAATCGTTTAGAGTGCTGCTCTAGTGAATATGATGTGTTTTTTTCGTCAGGTGTGGACAAAGATATAGTAGAAGACTTGTGCTTTGATGGCATGTATGTGTACAAACTCCTAACAGTTGGCCTGGGTATTGACAGTTCATCATGGAGTAATATAGACTTCAGTCATCAGGTTTGTGGTTTATGTTGTACATTTTTTTTTTTTTTTTTTTTTTTTTTTTTTTTTTATCAGTAGGATAAGCAATCAATACTTTCTGATACAATGCTTCTCTCGCAAACTCAAGATGTGAAGCACAGAGTAATAGCTTTCATTAAGGTAGTATCAAAAGGGATCTAGTTAATGGAAACAGCGTCTCTTTCGTGTTTTCCCACTAATAAAAATGTTTTCACTCGAACCATTCAGTAATTTGTATTTAGAATTATCATCACTTTTATCCACAGGTGAAGGGCATGGATGTTGAATGGCCTTTGGGCTTCATGCTGAACCGGACCACTAGTCTCCCTGCTGCTCACACAGACCGTCCTCTGACTGTTACTACGTTTTCACTGTTGCTTTTCCTCTTCTCAGCATTCCTCATCAGCGGCATGCTCTTCCTACGTCACTCAATCAAGATCAGGAGGCACAGTGCCTCTTACCAAAGGTGTGACTCTCACCAAGCATAGATGCATTTGTATTAAGTCATGTGCCATGCAGCTAGCTTACAATTCTACCTTTTGCTCGGTGTAGCAGGTGGTACCCTTTGCAGTGTATTCCACTTCCCTAAGATGCATGTATATTGAACCTTAAATTCTGTGACACATCCTTGCAATCAGATTGCATGAAGCTCACATCAGTGGGATTACATCATAAGTGATACAGGATTATATATAATGCCTTATGGTCAGAGATTCAAAGGTATATTTGTAGAGAGCTGAAATTTCATAGAAATGATAGATAATGCAAACCAGTACCTTAAAAGTTGTAGGGGTTGTGAATTTAGGTCCAGTGATAGAACCTGTGATATATATATATATACTATATATATCTATGAAATAGATTATTTATCTTCTCTCCATTATCAAAAGACAAAGCAGTCCAATGGAAATATGGTAATCTGCTTGCTTGCTAATATGCTTTTGCATTTATATATAGTATTTAAAAAGATTGTACCTGAATTCCACCAATTTGAATAATATCTGGAAGTGGTACTACTTAAGTCATAAAGTTCTAAATCTCAGAATTTTTGTAAAGCAAGTGTTTATGTATGTTTGAGAGTATGTGTGTGTGAGAGAGAGTGTGTGTGTGAGGGAGAGTATGTGAGAGAGTACGTGTGTGTGAGAGAGAGTATGTGTGTGTGAGTGTATGTGTGTGTGAGAGAGTATGTGTGTGTGAGAGAGAGTATGTGTGTGTGAGAGAGAGTATGTGTGTGTGAGAGAGAGTATGTGTGTGTGTGAGAGAGAGTATTGTGTGTGTGAGAGAGTATGTGTGTGTGAGAGAGAGTATGTTGTGTGAGAGAGAGTATGTGTGTGTGAGAGAGAGTATGTGTGTGTGTGAGAGAGTATGTGTGTGTGTGAGAGAGAGTATGTGTGTGTGTGAGAGAGAGTTTGTGTGTGTGAGAGAGAGTATGTGTGTGTGTGAGAGAGAGTATGTGTGTGTGTGAGAGAGAGTATGTGTGTGTGAGAGAGAGTATGTGTGTGTGTGAGAGAGAGTATGTGTGTGTGAGAGAGAGTATGTGTGTGTGTGAGAGAGAGTATGTGTGTGTGTGAGAGAGAGTATGTGTGTGTGTGAGAGAGAGTATGTGTGTGTGAGAGAGAGAGTATGTGTGTGTGTGAGAGAGAGTATGTGTGTGTGAGAGAGAGTATGTGTGTGTGAGAGAGTCTGTGTGTGTGAGAGAGTCTGTGTGTGAAAGAGTGTGTGTGTGTGTGTGAGAGAGAGGTGTGTGTGTGTGTGTCTGTGTCTATGTCTGTGTCTGAGTGTGTGATAGTGTGAGTGTTTACAATCTGGACAGATGAATTATTCAGTCTCACATCATGTTTTTTGTTGAAGAAAAAAATCTGCTAATTTTTCTGCATGTGTAAGATATATATATATACAAAATATATTTTTATAAAAAACTGTTGGTTATGTTACCAGAAACATTAATTGTCAACACATGAGACAGAATCTTCTTTTGCCTTTTTCTTTCTTGAATTAATAGCATAATTTCTGTGTTTTCATACTTCATCATCCAATTTAAGAATGTGTTTGCCTTTTCTTTCTTGAATTAATGGCATAATTTCTGTGTTTTGCATACTCCATCCCAATTTATTTTCCCATAAAAAATCTGATGACGTCAGTATTGCCTGGATTTTTTTTTTTTTTTTTTTTTCTTCTTCTTCTAAGATTGGCTTGAGAAATTTGTTTTGTATGAAATTATTTAGGGAATCAGGTGTATGTAGATGCCTATGTGAACATAAAACCTGTGCAGAGCTTTTCTTTGTAGTTTTTAAAGCATTCTTTCATGCTACTTTTTTCTTAGAACGGTTGCTTTCTTCGTTTGAACGGTTGCTTTCTTTTTGCTACAATTCAGCATTGCAAACTGACTTTGCAAAAGAATATACAATGTGCTTATACCTAAGTCTGGCATAGCATGTGGATGAAGTTAGATTCAAGGTCAGAGTTACTATTCCACAAGGCTTGTGCATTAGCTCATGTCTTTTGTTTCCTCCTTGCAGGGTAATTGCAGACCATTTTGATCATGAACTCCGTAGGTTTATATGAGGATAGGAAAACTTCTTGCGGCATTTTTAAGAGATAAGGGACATGGACATTGGTAAATATTTGAAGAGATCAACAGTAAAAGCATTTTGTTTCCAGATAAGATTTTTTGGACGCTATAGAAACATTGGAACTATCCACTCGAGGTTGGGGGGTAATATGCCTGTTGTTTAAAATCTGTTTGTCTTTTATATGTGGTAAGTTTTCATAAATATGTTGGAAAACTTTAGCAACTTGAATTATATATACCTCATATATCCTGTAGAGCTAAAACGTCTGTCCCTTTGTACAATTCTTTCTTTTGGTAATTGTTCTAAGTTCTGTTTTGGTTTTACATAATGTTTATATGCCATTTCCTTAGAAATTTTGTTGTTTAGGGTTACTTAAAGTAGAAAAGGATACTTTCAAAGTCTATTCAGTTGTGATAAATGTCTATCTATTCATAGATATGTATGTCAGATATTTTTGTAAAGTGTATGCAAGCTTATATGTCTTTTTGAGGGTTGTGTGTCAGCATGTTTCATATGACTTTATAAATGAAGGTATGAGAACATCTGGTAAAAATGAAAGAAAAACTGTGGTTGTGAATTTGTGTTCTTATATTAAAAACTGTTTTATTTTTTATTTTTGGATTATGTCTTTCAATCTGAGGAGATTACATTGTCAGTAAAGTCTAGCCTTTTACTGGGATTATGATAAGCTTAGAAAAGAAAGAGATATATGTACATATGAACATATATTTTGAAAGTTATATATGAAATTGGAGTATAACAAAGGGATATCACTATTTTACTGTGAATTTGTAATTCTGTTTATATTCATCAACTCATTCTTTCCTGTACAAACATTTTGTAAAAAGTAAGATAATTTTAAAGAGAAATTTTATGCAGCATACTTAAAAAAATACCCATATCATTGAACTAGGGTTTATTTTAACTTTGAATTATAGTCACTGACAATTGATAAAAGATGTTGTTTAGAAAAGAAGGTCTTTTTAGTTACCAAATAGAGCATTGTCATAAATATTTTCTTATAGACGGAGATTCTTCTGTGTCTTTGTTTAGTTTGGAAATGTACACTTGAAATCCATAATTCAGTTCAGAAACCTTATAGGTGTTTATATTCAAAGAGAAGACTTAATGTACTTTGTAAGTAAATAATATGTAAAGAATATGAGCCTGGAGATGATGAAATTAAAGGTTTATGAAACTGAATACTGAATTATGGGTTATTAATTGTATATTTTTTAAACAAATTCTATTATTGTGATCTGTGTTATTGTGTTTGTGTGTAGACTCTCAAAAAAAGAACACACTATTTGGGTATCTATTTACAAAGTGTTAAAAGAAAGTATCATTAAAAGTTTATTTTTTCCTGCAAAATTGATATGGTGTTTCTTAACCCATAGTTTTTTTTAAGGAATAATGAGTGAAAGCCATTTTTCCCGAAATAAGTCAATTGCTATTTAAGCAAAAAACAAATAGTTATTCTCAGTACTGCATCATATTACCCTCAACCAGAAGCCATGATAAAAAACATATATCACTTGTTAAGATGATATTTGTGAATCAAAGTTGCAAATTATTTATATCTTTTGATAGGATTTATTTGATAAAATCAGTTGACACCTAACTACAGCCAAAACATAGTGTATTAGAGAAATAATGTGAAAAAGCTATCAATGATTTGTGATGGACTTTTTCCTGGATGCTTTGATCTAACCAGCACTCTAGAACATAATTACAGTGTGGATCAATTTGAAGCCATCAATACTAGCTCTATTCTCCAATTTAAAAGTGTGATTTGAAGATAATTGATGAGAAATTGAAATGGAGGAACAAAGTGAAATATAAGTGAGGCAGTTAATATAGGTATATGTATATATGTATATATATTGTAATAGTAATATATATATATTATTATATAATATATATATATATATATATATATATATATATATATATATAATATATATATATATTAATATAATATATTAATAATATATATAATGTATATATATAATACACACACACACACATACATAACACTTGTTGGTGTGCATGTGTGTGTGTGTATGTATGTATATATCTATATCTATTTATCTGTCTATATGTAAAGTTCATATGTATGTACGTGTTTGTGTGTGCATAAAATCCTGTTTTTCTCGCCTGGTAATTATGTAAAGACCGCCACGGCTGTGACCTAGCTGCCTCCACCTTCACCAAAAGTGTTAATTAATTCCTTTATGTGTGACTGAGTATTCTCCGTCGATTCAACTTTCTTCATCTGTTCTGCAGGTCAGCGAGAGAGCTGATGCTAATAAACTTCAGTTCATAAATATATATATATATATAATATATAATATATATATATATATATATATATATATATATATATATATATATATTATATAATATATGTATATGTATATATGTATATAAAATGTGTGTGTGTGTGTGTATATATATATCGCAGAAATATATGAATGTCAAAACAAACAATCACTACTTATATATTTGTAACATTTTAAGAAAAAACAGCAGTGAGAAAATATGAAAGAAAAAACAAATCAGAGAGAGAAAGAGAGAGATATACACAAACATATATACACACAAATTATACACACACACATTTGTGATAATACATATATATATATATATATATATATATATATATATATATATATATATATATATATATATATATATATATATATATATATATATATATATATATATATATATATATATATATATATATATATATATATATATATATATATATATATATATATATATATATATATATATATATATATATGTATGTATCAGGATCTAGATATTGTTAGAGAGAGAGAGAATGAAAACCGACAGACACAAACACACACACACACACAAAACCAGCTCTTCGTAGATCCTGGAAAGTGTTCTGAAAGAAGTGAAAGCAGTTGCGCGCAAGACGCTTGTTCGGAGCAAATCTCTCGGTCAAACTGGCATTTGGTGCCAAGGGTCGGACGATGCCATTCGGAGGCGCCGAAGGAGGCATCGCGGCGCCACTTCGGAAAGAGCGATCATCTGCGTCGCGTTCGCTCTGGACTCCCCATGGCGCGTTTTATACTAATTGGGTAGTTGATGAAGGCAAAACACAAGCACAAAGAAATCTATACATACGCATACATATAGATATGCCTTCGCATACGCGTACGTATGTCGGAAACCGTAGAAGTAAAAGAATTACACACGCACACACACACACACTCGCTCATTATCATCATTATCTTAGTGTAACCAAGCTTTATCTATATTATAACTATATGATACATATATATGTAATCTTACATGTTTGTCACATACGTATCTTCGCACATACATATACATATGCATATACGCCTGACCATTGCTTCCTCTGTTCATTCCTCTTCTCCTTGCCTCACCAGACATTAGAATGTTGTGTTGTCTATCTCTTCCAGAAGAGCTATGTATTGTAACGCTTCCTTGTTCATCACCGTTCGTCACATGCTAACAACGTGACTTGGTGCGATCTTTAAACCATTGTACAGGAGATCAGGCAGACTCCCTGCGGGGAGCCAAGGAGCGACACCTCGCTCCAAGGAGCTGTCGCACTCCATCTTATTCAGTAAAGGAGTCAAGACATCTTGGTTGTCTACCTTAAGCCCTTGCTCGCCATCTACCAAACTCTTGTAGGACCAATATTTGGCTCTTACACTTAGCATCATCATCATCATCAATAATGAGAGACCTGAAATAACGCATAGTAGATTTGTCCGATTGATGATGATGATGATAGTCTCGCTCTCTCTATCGATCTGTCTTCTTTCTCTCAGTTTCTAGTATGGTTGTGTGTGAGTTTTTGAACGAGCGTACTTGTGTGCGTATGTATGTATGTGCGCAACTGGGAGTGCTTGCGTATTTTTGGCAATTGCACGTTATCTGCAAATTAGCGATCTACATCAAAAACCCTCCGAATCAAAGATAAAAACTGACCATCAACAATTAATGAATGGGATAGTCGTTTGATTAGAATTTAGTATTTTATTGATAAATGATATTTATACACACACGCAGATATTTGGCTGAGAAAATTTCGGAATCCGACATTGGGTGGTTCCTTAGCGCCAAGCTGTCTTGCGGCGTCGAGGANCCTCAAACCTCCTCGTCAGCCGCTCTCTGCCTCGTCAGCATCGTCAGCCTGCAGCTCCCCAGCTTCTCCTCACCTCGCACCACACCCAAAATACGTGTGAATTTTGAAGAAAACAAGTAAAAAAAAAGAAATCGGTGATCAATACTTAGCTTTTCCTTAAATATTTCTTACTCTGTGTTAAATTCTTAATACCGTTATTGAATTATGCAGTGACGTTATTTTGTATTCTGTGTTCACTTATCAGTTATAGGTATTCATTTGCAGCTTATGAGTTGTCTTACTAGGTTCGCTCGTATGTATTTAGGCGCCCCCGCCGCTCGTATGTATCTAGGCGCCCCCGCCGCTCGTACCTTACCGCCGCCTGAGGACGCACTCCCCTCAGCGCCGCCCGCGCATTCTGTGACGCCGCCTGAAGATGGGATTCCTTCAGCGCCGCCCGCTCACTACAGTTCCGAAGCCCGAGCATATGCACTCTCGGCACCAGTTAGAAAATAACAAGCGAATCTACTTGATACTGATACACTGCCACAATACCTGCATCCTGTTTTTTTTTTACATTGCTTACGGCTTTTACACAATTGTGCCACTGTTTCTTATGTATTTTCTATTGTTTTTAGCTATATGAATTTAGACGGTTTGATTATGATGGGGACCATCATTTTAAAACCAGGGAGATATGTAACCCAGCTATTATGTTATATCTAATTACTATATGATACATATATATAATCTTACATGTTCGTCACATACGTATCTTCACACATACATATACATATGCATATACGCCTGACCATTGCTTCCTCTATTCATTCCTCTCTTCTTGCCTCACCAGACATTAGAATGTTGTGTTGTCTATCTCTTCCACAAGAGCTATGTATTGTTGTAACGCTTCTTTGTTCATCACCGTTCGTCACATGCTAACAACGTGACATGGTGCGATCTGTAAACCATTGTACAGGAGATCAGGCAGACTCCCTGCAGGGAGCTAAGGAGCAACAGCTTGCTTCCGAGGAGCTGACCGCACTTCAACATCTTATTCAGTAAAGGAGTCAAGACATCTTGGTTGTCTACC